CCAGCCGAATTGTGATAGATGATTGACTCATTTTTTAAAAACAGCCAGCAATTAAAAGTTATTTCGTCAGATCGCGTCACACGGTGGTAACAAAAATATAGAAAATAATACTGTATAGTATTTACACTGTGAATTAGTTCTCACTCGCAATCATTCAGGCAATCAGATTTATAGGCTAACCCTAGCAATCAGCGGAAACATTCCTGACCAATCTTTAAATTGTGTTAAAATGACAAGCCATTTTATTTACCAAACAAAGGCCACAAAAATGAGTTGTTCCCCGTGACAAAAAACTTCAAAACGCCCCTCCCATCATAAGCTGTCGTCGCTTTCTGCTCGCAAAATGTTTACATAAAGCGATGCACCCTAGCATATTACACATTTTTCGGTTGATCAACTAATTTCAAGAAATAAAAAAATTGAATCTTAACAAAACAGACCAAAAATGTTTTACATGATCCGTCTAATAGCTTACAAATGGCGCTTTAATCCAAACGTTTTTAAAAGGCAGGAAGTAACCTGGTTTGAATATTAGTTTTTTGAAGTGAAAGGTAGGTTGTTGTTTTATTTGCCGAATAAATGAGAATTTAAACCGAAACTAGACGGCAGGTGGGAGCTACAACTACAAAGGATATGGCAAGGTTTATCTCAAGAGTACAGAAATGTAAGACATAGCTCATTAGTAGTGGTGCATTATGGTGTTGAACAGGAGACACCCAAATTCGGGGGCTTATTTTCTTATAAGTTTTTTTCTTCTAAATTTACAATTATTAAAGAATGAGGTTTTTTTAATGAAATATACGTCTGTCCCTTAGTCGGACATCAACGCCCACTCTCTACAGTTTAAACTTTAGCTGTCATCGCTTCATGTCAAACAATGTTTATTTAACGTGAGCTCTCCCTAAAATAATATGTTTCTGATTGATCTTGCTTAGTCTATAAAATACGACCAGTAAGTAAGATCTGCAAATGTATAGAGGTCTAGTAGGCTGATCACATATACTAAAATAATATTAAGTGATATATATATTTTTATAATCATATTGTGTCTTCCATTGGATCTATACAAGCAGCACTATAACTCTAACATGTTTACAACAGTAGGCCTATTCAAATAAACCGGGAGTGATCTCCCCTAAACTTTCTCGAATATTCTTATATAACTTGGAATATAGACACGATTTTTAATTACTTAAACTTTTAAAAATAGAATAGAATCTCATAGAAAAAAGAATTGCGCACCAAGCAAACGCCAAAACAAAATGTGCATAATAGTGCGCAATATTATTATTACTTTATAAATTTGCATGCGTTTTTTGAGAACACGGAAATAGCGTAAATTAGCACTTCCGCTCAACGGAAATGACTCAAAATAGTACTCAAATTATAGGCTTTTGAAAAATTCAAAGTAGAAAAAGTACCACTTCCGGTTATTGGAAATCGCTCAAAAGTTGATACGGATCTAAGATTTTGATGAAATACTTATATATGAAATTTCATCAACCTAGCTGCAACGGTACTGTGTTTACACACAGACAGGCACACACACAGACACACAGACACACAGACATACGGACAAGATTGCAAAATTATGTTTTTCCGTATCAATGAGGTGTAGAACGTCGAGATTTGTATAAATCTCGATTTTTTTTTTGCACGATTACAAGACTTTCTCTATACTTCGTATATACGAGAAAGTAAAAATGGTATGGAGAGATGTTTTCAAATTTTGTTATCTGAATCAAATTTTCGTATAGTTACGATTTTTAAAAGATAAGTTATAATTAAGCACGATTTTAAAAGTACTGAAGTTGTAAACATTTATCTTGGATTTAAACTCCTCAAGTAATAGAAGATGTAATTGAGTATTATTCTTCTGTACGTTTTGCCATTTAAGTCTAATATTAAAATTTTCATTAAAAACAATTTTAAACACACCCTTACCTAAACATGTTAGACAAAAGCGTCGCTAGACTAATTAAGCTTTTGTTAGTCAACGCGAAATGGCGCCAGAATCTATTTTTTAAATATGTAAATATTCATGATTGTTCCACTTAGGGTGGTTGAGATATTCTTTATTTTCTTTTATATTCTGTAGAAGAGTTTTTCTAAAAGTCATTTTTCGTCTCTTTTAATTGCATCTGCCAAATATTTGAATGTCTTCAAATCCTGATGAATTTAGATTTGATAATTTTTCACATGTTTATGCGGATATCCAAGCTTCAGTGGCTTAGATACTGAGAGAGCCACCTAGAGATCTAATATAATTTTATAAAGGCTAACGTGTATACATTTTTGTGCTGAATCCCCATCAGTTGACTTATTTGTTGTCCAATCTTGGAATAACAGCAGCGTATTTTCACTGGCATTTGTTTACTTATTGCTTTTCGTTTCTTTTCACACACACACACACACATATATATATATATATATATATATATATATATATATATATATATATATATATATATATACATACATACATACATACATACATACATACATACATACATACATACATACATACATACATACATACATACATACATACGTACATACATACATACGTACATACGTACATACGTACATACGTACATACGTACATACGTACATACGTACATACGTACATACGTACATACATACATACATACATACATACATACATGACAACTTGAGCACATTTCTATTGTGTAGTAGGTGACAGGACAAATGATCTCAGGACAAATGATCTCAGACAAAATATCTCAGACAAAATATCTCACGGACAAATGATCTCAGGACAAATGATCTCAAGACAAATGATCTCAAGGACAAATGATCTCAAGGACAAAAGATACCAGGACAAAATATATCAGGACAAATGATACCATGGACAATTGATCTCAGACAAAATATCTCAGACAAAATATCTCACAGCAAAATTTTAATAGTGTATTGGATGAATTTAGTTGATCTGAACATTATTTTGTTAACTGTCAACATGGTTTTGTTTACTTTGTTTAATTTTTTATAGGCCTATGTAATAATTGTGAGAAATGTTTGCCGTATACATTTGTCATATTGCACTAAACATTTTAAAATTAAGATTATTAATATAGTATGCGAAGATCAAAGATTTTTAATTCGATAGGCAGCGTAGTGCGCTTGACAAATATGAGACAATCCTACCACGTCAGGTGGACAAAACTATATCAAAGGGGATGAAATAACAATAAAGACACACCTTCGTATCAAGGTGGCCGCTCGCTTTGATAGCAAAGACGCCTTAAGGGAAAGCCAACCGCCCTCCATGGACAATACAGCTAGCCTCTAAAGTCCATTGTTATGCATTGGTCACACCTTAGTGATCAGGCGACAAATGCGGTCATTGCGGAGCTAAGTTTGTCGTAGTGTGCATGCAAACAAAGCAGTATAAGCTGTGCTTACTCAGCTATGGCGTCATTAGTTACATAGCAAAAAGGTTTTAGGACTTAAGTTTCTGGTGAATTTTTGTTTATTAAAGCCATAAGTGGAGCAGCAGGCAAAGAGGTTTGGAAATGTGAAATTAGGACATGTCAAGCAAGATTTCACAAATACATGATCACATAGTATTGGAGAGGTGTGATAATAACGATGTAGCCTACCTGCCAGCAAAGAAACGTACATGTTTGTGTTGCTGATGCTATAAAAACAATAGGTTTATGTTACGAACCTGAAGACCCATTCACATTTAAAAAAAATATTTAGCGTGTTTTAACATTAATGTTATTTTATTTGTTTTCTACATTATCAATTATTATACTTTTTAGGCTAAAGGATTACGTTTGTTTTAATTTTTACTTTTTCAAATAAAATGCTATTACAAAGATAAAGTTTGATAAACCTTTTGAAACTTTGTTAAGTTTAACAAATTCATTTTATTCACAATTATTATGCGTTAAAAAGTAAACAAATCTATATTGACGGTCAATAAAAAAATGTTCAACTCAACTAAAATCATCGTACATACTTTTAAAATTTTGCTGTGAGATATTTTGTCTGAGATATTTTGTCTGGAATCATTTGTCCATGAAATCATTTGTCCTGATATATTTTGTCCTGGTATCTTTTGTCCGTGAGATCATTTGTCCTTGAGATCATTTGTCCTGAGATCATTTGTCCTGAGATAATTTGTCCGTGAGATATTTTGTCTGAGATTTTTTGTCTGAGATCATTTGTCCTGAGATCATTTGTCATGGAACCGTGTAGTATGTCGATTGTTTGTGTGGGGACTAGATTGGTCCTTTTTGACCTAAACCAACGAGTCGCATGCCACAGGTTCCCCCCCCCCTAACCCCGCCACAAATGGCTAGAGCACACAACATGTCGGGTATCAGGTGAATAAATGCTGTGCTGTACGGGCGGGGTGGGGGGTGGAGGTGGGGGTGGGGGTGCTACTGCGTCTCACATTCGCCCCGACGCTCCGACCAGTAATTTAAATTTTTTTTTTTTACTGCTGATCTTTTTAACTTCTCGGCTAGAATAGCTGATACAGCCAGAAATGTCTAGTCACCTCCCCTTGTTCCCCCCTGTGTCACCTCCCCTTGTTCCCCCCTGTGTCACCTCCCCTTGTTCCCCCCTGTGTCACCTCCCCTTGTTCCCCCCTGTGTCACCTCCCCTTGTTTCCCCCTGTGTCACCTCCCTTTGTTCCCCCCTGTGTCACCTCCCCTTGTTCCCCCCTGTGTCACCTCCCCTTGTTCCCCCCTGTGTCACCTCCCCTTGTTTCCCACCCCTCCCTGTGTCACCTCCCCTTGTTCCCCCCTGTGTCACCTCCCCTTGTTTCCCACCCCTCCCTGTGTCGCCTCCCCTTGTTCCCCCCTGTGTCACCTCCCGTTGTTCCCCCCTGTGTCACCTCCCCTTGTTCCCCACCTCTACCTGTGTCACCTCCCCTTGTTCCACCATGAGAGTAACGTCCCCCGTTTTTAACCTTCGAGTCATTTAGTGAATGTGTCACTTCCTTCAACATGACGTCATGTCGTTTATCATGACGTCATGTCACCCATGTTTGCTAATTCCGTGTCACATAAATGTGTCAACTTGTACGTGGTGTAAGGGTGGATGTACGTGGTGTAAGGGTGGGTGTACGTGGTGTAAGGGTGGGTGTACGTGGTGTAAGGGTGGATGTACGTGGTGTAAGGGTGGATGTACGTGGTGTAAGGGTGGGTGTACGTGGTGTAAGGGTGGATGTACGTGGTGTAAGGGTGGATGTACGTGGTGTAAGGGTGGGTGTACGTGGTGTAAGGGTGGATGTACGTGGTGTAAGGGTGGATGTACGTGGTGTAAGGGTGGATGTACGTGGTGTAAGGGTGGATGTACGTGGTGTAAGGGTGGATGTACGTGGTGTAAGGGTGGATGTACGTGGTGTAAGGGTGGATGTACGTGGTGTAAGGGTGGGTGTACGTGGTGTAAGGGTGGGTGTACGTGGTGTAAGGGTGGATGTACGTGGTGTAAGGGTGGGTGTACGTGGTGTAAGGGTGGGTGTACGTGGTGTAAGGGTGGATGTACGTGGTGTAAGGGTGGATGTACGTGGTGTAAGGGTGGATGTACGTGGTGTAAGGGTGGATGTACGTGGTGTAAGGGTGGGTGTACGTGGTGTAAGGGTGGATGTACGTGGTGTAAGGGTGGGTGTACGTGGTGTAAGGGTGGATGTACGTGGTGTAAGGGTGGATGTACGTGGTGTAAGGGTGGATGTACGTGGTGTAAGGGTGGATGTACGTGGTGTAAGGGTGGGTGTACGTGGTGTAAGGGTGGATGTACGTGGTGTAAGGGTGGATGTACGTGGTGTAAGGGTGGGTGTACGTGGTGTAAGGGTGGATGTACGTGGTGTAAGGGTGGGTGTACGTGGTGTACGTGGTGTAAGGGTGGGTGTACGTGGTGTAAGGGTGGATGCAGTTTTTCTTCCTGGATGCAGTGTTTCTTCCAGACTTTTTTCTCCGGGTTGGGGGGGGGGGGGCGGACACTGGTGAAAGTATATATTTTCTATATAAATCTCCGTTTCGGGGGACGGGGGCGCGGCGGGGTGGGGTGACACCAAAGCTGTAAATCAACATATCATTTAATTCTTGGAAGTGGCAGCCAAGAATCTTATTGATGCACACAAAAAAAATCTTATCTTATTGATGCACAAATTCTTATCTTATTGATGCACAAATTCTTATCTTATTGGTGCACAAATTCTTATCTTATTAATACACAAATTCTTATCTTATTGATGCACAAATTTTTATCTTATTGGTCTACAAATTCTTATCTTATTGATGCACAAGTTCTTATCTTATTGGTGCACAAATTCTTATCTTATTAATACACAAATTCTTATCTTATTGATGCACACATTCTTATCTTATTGGTGCACAAATTCTTATCTTATTGATGCACAAATTCTTATCTTATTGATGCACAAATTCTTATCTTATTGATGCACAAATTCTTATCTTATTGATGCACACATTCTTATCTTATTGGTGCACAAATTCTTATCTTATTGATGCACAAATTCTTATCTTATTGATGCACAAATTCTTATCTTATTGATGCACACATTCTTATCTTATTGGTGCACAAATTCTTATCTTATTGATGCACAAATTCTTATCTTATTGATGCACAAATTCTTATCTTATTGATGCACAAATTCTTATCCTATTGATGCACAAATTCTTATCTTATTGATGCACAGGTTCCTTTGGCTATTTTGATAAGCCCACTACAAATGAAATCTGACATTGTTTAGACAATGAATGAATCTGGTGCTATGCAATGTGTTGGACATTGTGTTCATCGTTTTACACTGTAATTAATAGCAACATACAGTGGCGGAACTAGAAAAAAAGGGCCACCTCGCAAAACCAATTTCTGGGCCCCCAGAATATATATATATATATATATATATATATATATATATATATATATATATATATATATATATATATATATATATATATATATATATATACATGCAAACACAGAATACGAACAAAGGATACTAATTTTTGGCCTGATCGCATTGCGGGGTCTGGCGTCACTGTAGTTCCGCCCCTGGCAACATATAATTTTTACAATCTTCTCCAATCTTCTATCAATCTTACTAATTAGGCAATATAGATTTCTCTGTGGTGTTATACCTTTTAAATGACTATTTCTAGCACTTATTCAAAATAGCAAAACTTGTACGTTGTCATTGATAGTGAATAAATAAAGAGAAGTCAACTTAAGAGACGGGTGGATTTCACCTGACCGACTTGCCACATTGACACAATATGTTCACGGTTTTTTTTTGTTGGCCATTAAATAAGTTGCCAAACATTTGGATACAATTTATTATACCCATATAAGGAGCATCTAGCGGATTAAAACATTCGAACAATCTCTTCGGTCGCTATAGAAATAATTTTCCCATTGAACATAGTAGTCCAGCCCATCTTTAAAAAATCAAATACATTATAAATATGTAGCGGTCAAAGCCCAAAGTCGGCCAAAGAACACATTGGCCGGCCAATGCGCGCATTGGCCAATATCGCCTCCTATTGACCGGTCAAAGTCCGAAACTTTACTTGATTTTGGCCTTTGGCGGCCAATCCACAGACTGGCTAGGGAGGACCGGTCAAAGTTTGAAATTGTGAAGATGCGATGGGTTGTAGTGATTTTTCCTCAGCGCCAATAGACGACAATGAGAGCAGATTTTCGTGAAGAAATGAAAACTCACTTCTAGCATACAGTTGTTTTAGAACACCATGTTCCGTTCCTAATTTGTAGAAACCGCCCTCGACGTTCATGACAACTGCAATGACGCTTCGGGGATCACCGTGACCTCTTTCAACATCTGGTATACTGATGCAAACATTATCTTCCACTTCATCTTGTTTAAAATTTGTATCTGATTTTTTGTTAGCGTCTTGGCACCTTGAGTTTGCAAGCTAGTATGAGCTGCTGACCTGTCCATAATTTCTTGTTTATTGTGACATAATCTGCAAGTAATGTTACATCTGTGCCCCTCGTCTGCTTTATTAGCAATTACGCACTAGTTGCTTACCCATGCTCCGCCACGGTGAATTTAAAAAAAAAATACCAACTTGGGAACAGAATAACGCAAACACAAAAAAAAACAACACAAACACAACACAAAAAACCACAAACACAAAAACAATGCTAAAAAACACAGTGCAAACGCAAAAAAAAAAAACACAAACGAAAATACAAACACAGACACAAACGCAACTCGCCAACACAAACACAAAAGCAAACGCAAACACAAAGAAAAACACAAAAGCAAACGCAAACACAAACACAACACTTAAGAAAACGCAAACACGAAAAAATGCAAACGCAAAAAAACACAAACGCAACACAACACAAACGAAACCCACAAACACAAACACATAAGACAAATGCGAACATATATATATATATATATATATATATATATATATATATATATATATATATATATATATATATATATATATATATATATATATATATATATATATCAGTTCTGTATGTAAGGCAAATGTTTGTCGTTGGTCTTGGATGGATTTAAGTGTTAGACAATCATCGTGCGCATTTGTCTAAATTTTTGAGTTAAAAAATTACTATTGAAAGTGTTGGGAAATAATTTTCAGTTTTCAAATTACAGCAATAATTGTCGGCTTTTTAAAAAATATCATCTTTTACAAAAATTCTAATTATGTCTTTATTTAGTCCTATAGCACTTACTTCCCTTTGATAAATTAGGAAAACACAATTACTTCCCTTTATTAAACCATTGCATTTAGTGGAAAATAATTTACTTTTTATTACTTTGTTTTGGTGTTGGGAAAAAAAATAATTACATAACTAGCGGGGATTGATCAAGTGCAAATCTTGTAGGTATTTTACGGATAACCTTGGAGTATTAAAATTGTTCATTAAATTGAAACAGGCGCGTTCGTTTAAGTGAGTGCAAAAGACTATGAATAAGTTGGGGTACTATAGTCGTTCATTAAGCTAAAACATGTGATTCCGCCCCGGGCGTTTATGTTCGCGTTAGTGTTTTCTTTGTGTTTAGGTGGGTTTGCGTTAGTGGTTGCGTTTTGATTTGGTTCGTTTTTGTTCTTTCTTTTTTCATTTTTGCTTGTGTTTTTTTGTTTGGGTTTGTATTTGTGTTTTTGGTTGGTTTTGCGTTTGGATTTGGTTTGTTTTCGTTTGCTTTGTCGTTGTTTTTTTTTTTTTGTTGGTGTTGGTGTTTGTGGTTGGGTTTGTTGTTAGGTTTTTGTTTTCGTTTGCTTTTTTGTTTGTTTTTTCTTTGTGTTTGTATTGGTGTTTGTGGTTATGGTTGGGTTTGTTGTTAGGTTTTTGTTTTCGTTTGTATTTGTAATTGTGTTAGCGTTATGTTTGCGTTTTGTTGTTTTGGTTGGTTGTGGTTTGGGTGGGCAATGCCGGGTTTATGATGATTACTAAACACACAGGTAATGGTCTTTAACAGAAAGGTTTTTCACAGAAGCCAGAGCAGGGCCTGGCCGGGACGGCTAGTATATATATATATATATATATATATATATATATATATATATATATATATATATATATATATATATATATATATAAAATATATATAAAATATATATAAAATATATATAAAATATATATATATATATATAAAATATTGATCGTCTCTGTATATTCACAGGCAACATAACGTGAATCTCGACGACTTCCGTGCTAGATCAAGCGAGTCTAGCTGTTTACTAGTGTTCGTGACGTCATAACTTCTCTGTCAACACAGGATCTGGCCACGCTGCGTGCTACAGCCTTGACCATGGCCGCCATTGTAACGACGTAACGACCAAAGCGAGGCTGACACGCCTAAAACGACATCTTAGATCAGACACACGTCAGCATGATGTCGGCGGCGCGTATGTAGCGGCCCATCCTTCCATCATCTTTACAAGCATTCCATTCACGTCAACGGACATCATGACGTCATCGCTCTACGTCATCATTGCCATGTTCTTCCACTACCAAACGGTGGCCCTGGCAAGTAAACTCAAGTACCAGGAGCCATACACCGGCAAGGGGGGCCCCGACCCCTGCTACAATGAGAACGGCACCCCTAAGCGGTGTGTGCCAGACTTTGTCAACGCGGCCTTCGGTAAACGGGTGGACGCCTCTAGCACCTGCGGCGTGGAGCCGGAGCATTACTGTAAATCTGTTAAAGACAAGAGCGGGGAAATTCAGAGGTCAGGCTTTCAGTCATACCGTCACCTTAATTAAGTTAGAGTATTAGAGGCACTCAATTCTTAAGGGGGCAGTATCACCCAGACATTTGAAAATTGACGAAAAAATTTGCCAAAAAAAAAACTATTACACATACACACATAATTTTTTTACCATAATAGTAATTAATTAGGAGCTATAAAACAGCACATAAAAGAAAGTTAATGTATGATGCAAACATTTTTAATAAATATTTTAACCAAAATTTTTTTACAAAGTAATTTGTGGCTGCGGTTTTCCAACATTTAGGCCCATCCTGCTGAAAATACGCTGGGAGATGCATAACAGGATGGCCTATCGCTGGCACTAGAAGATATCCATTGTGGCAAATTTTAAAATTTTAAGAATTTTTCAAAGTCAAACCAAAAAAATCGAACTTAGAAAATTTCTAAAAAATTTATCCCTCATTAGAATCCTATGATTTTAGTTCCGACGATAGCCATTAACGCAAGGAAGGTTTATACCTAATTTAAAGTACTTTACTTATGGTTTCGTAAAATTGTTTACACAAAAATTCAAAATGTAATAAAATATTAACAAAATATTTTTTTGCAAATATGTTGCCATACATATATCCTACAATTTATATACTGTATTATAGCAGAAGAAGCGTTACTACTGCTGTACAATTTTGACATATGTCTGTCGAATAGTTTTTTTTTGGTGATTATTTTTGTTTTCTTCCCTTAGTCTGGGTGATACTGCCCCCTTAACTACCATCACCTGTAGTTAGAGTCTTAAATCTATGACCCCTGTTGACCCCTGTTGACCCCTGTTGACCCCTGTTGACCCCTGTCCCCAGGAACTGCTTCGTGTGTGACGCCAGTAACCCCAAGTACAGCTTCCCGCCGGAGTACCTGACTGACCTCAACAACCCCAGCAACGTCACGTGCTGGATGTCCAAGACCTACAGCTCCGTCCAGTACCCCTCCAATGTCACGCTGACCCTCAGCCTCAACAAGAAGTTTGAGCTGACCTACATCAGGTGAGTCAAAGGTCATCATGACCTTCAGCCTATTGGCTCTGCTCGGGTTGGTGTCAGTGGTCGGGTTGGTGTGGTCGGGTTGGTGTGGTCGGGTTGGTGTGGTCAGGTTGGTGTGGTCAAGTTGGTGTCAGTGGTCGGGTTGGTGTGGTCGGGTTGGTGTGGTCGTGTTGGTGTGGTTGGGTTGGTGTGGTGGGGTTGGTGTGGTCGGGTTGGTGTGGTCGGGTTGGTGTCAGTGGTCGGGTTGGTGTGGTCGGGTTGGTGTGGTCAGGTTGGTGTGGTCAGGTTGGTGTGGTCGGGTTGGTGTGGTCCGGTTGGTGTGGTCGGGTTGGTGTCAGTGGTCGGGTTGGTGTGGTCAGGTTGGTGTGGTCGGGTTGGTGTGGTCGGGTTGGTGTGGTCAGGTTGGTGTGGTTAGGTTCGTGTGGTCGGGTTGGTGTGGTCAGGTTGGTGTGGTCGGGTTGGTGTCAGTGGTCGGGTTGGTGTGGTCGTGTTGGTGTGGTCGGGTTGGTGTGGTCAGGTTGGTGTGGTCAGGTTGGTGTGGTGGGGTTGGTGTGGTCGGGTTGGTGTGGTCGGGTTAGTGTGGTCAGGTTGGTGTGGTGGAGTTCGTGTGGTCGGGTTGGTGTGGTCGGGTTGGTGTAGTGGGGTTGGTGTGGTCGGGTTGGTGTGGTCGTGTTGGTGTGGTCAGGTTGGTGTGGTTAGGTTGGTGTGGTCGGGTTAGTGTGGTCAGGTTAGTGTGGTCGGGTTGGTGTCAGTGGTCGGATTGGTGTGGTCGGGTTGGTGTGGTCGGGTTGGTGTCAGTGGTCGGGTTGGTGTGGTCGGGTTGGTGTGGTCAGGTTGGTGTGGTCGGGTTGGTGTGGTCGGGTTGGTGTGGTCAGGTTGGTGTGGTGGGGTTGGTGTGGTCGGGTTAGTGTGGTCAGGTTAGTGTGGTCGGGTTGGTGTCAGTGGTCGGGTTGGTGTGGTCGGATTGGTGTGGTCGGGTTGGTGTGGTCGGGTTGGTGTCAGTGGTCGGGTTGGTGTGGTCGGGTTGGTGTGGTCAGGTTGGTGTGGTCGGGTTGGTGTGGTCGGGTTGGTGTGGTCAGGTTGGTGTGGTGGGGTTGGTGTGGTCGGGTTAGTGTGGTCAGGTTAGTGTGGTCGGGTTGGTGTCAGTGGTCGGGTTGGTGTGGTCGGGTTGGTGTGGTCGGGTTGGTGTGTTCAGGTTGGTTGGTTAGGTTGGTGTGGTCGGGTTGGTGTGGTCGGGTTGGTGTGGTCGGGTTGGTGTAGTCGGGTTGGTGTGGTTAGGTTGGTGTGTTCAGGTTGGTTGGTTAGGTTGGTGTGGTCGGGTTGGTGTGGTCGGGTTGGTGTGGTCGGGTTGGTGTGGTCGGGTTGGTGTCAGTGGTCGGGTTGGTGTGGTCGGGTTGGTGTGGTCGTGTTGGTGTGGTCGGGTTGGTGTGGTTAGGTTGGTGTGGTCGGGTTGGTGTCAGTGGTCGGGTTGGTGTGGTCGGGTTGGTGTGGTCGGGTTGGTGTGGTTAGGTTGGTGTGTTCAGGTTGGTTGGTTAGGTTGGTGTGGTCGGGTTGGTGTGGTCGGGTTGGTGTGGTCGGGTTGGTGTGGTCGGGTTGGTGTGGTCGGGTTGGTGTCAGTGGTCGGGTTGGTGTGGTCGTGTTGGTGTGGTCGGGTTGGTGTGGTTAGGTTGGTGTGGTCGGGTTGGTGTCAGTGGTCGGGTTGGTGTGGTCGGGTTGGTGTGGACGGGTTGGTGTGGTCAGGTTGGTGTGGTCAGGTTGGTGTTGTCAGGTTGGTGTGGTCGTGTTGGTGTGGTTGGGTTGGTGTGGTTGGGTTGGTGTGGTTGGGTTAGGTTGGTGTGGTCGGGTTGGTGTGGTCGGGTTGGTGTGGTCGTGTTGGTGTGGTCAGGTTGGTGTTGTCAGGTTGGTGTGGTCGTGTTGGTGTGGTTGGGTTGGTGTGGTTGGGTTGGTGTGGTTGGGTTGGGTTGGTGTGGTCGGGTTGGTGTGGTCGGGTTGGTGTGGTCGGGTTGGTGTCAGTGGTCGGGTTGGTGTCAGTGGTCGGGTTGGTGTTATACTCCCTAAATCAACATTTTTTCCTTGTTCAAAGTTTTTTCCCCAACCTTGATGACGTAACTTAGATCAAATTATTTCTCCCCCCCCCCCCAGCCTCCAATTCTGCTCGGCCCGCCCCCACTCCATGGCATCTCTCTCAACAACAAAAAAATCACAACAACAAAAAAAAAAAAACAAAAAAACACAAAAAAGCAAGAAGATGTACAACAAGCCGGCGAGGGCCCAGGCCACCAAGGCCAACGAGCAGGAGGCGCTCTGCTCGGAGGCCTACAGCAACATCGACCCCTTCACGGGCGCCAGGGTGGCCTACTCCACCCTCGAGGGGCGGCCCTCGGGCCTGGATTTTGAGAACAGCCCAGTGCTGCAGGACTGGGTCACGGCGACCGACATCAAGGTCGAGTTCCACAAGCTCAACACGCTGGGGGACGAGCTCAAGGACGACGAGGGCGCCAAGAAAAGTTACTTCTACTCCCTGTCGGACTTCGCCGTAGGGGGGCGCTGCAAGTGTAACGGTCACGCTTCCAGCTGTATCATCGGGCGGGACGGGCGGCCGACGTGCGACTGCAAGCACAACACCGACGGCTACGACTGTGAGAAGTGCCAGGCGTTTCACTACGACAGGCCTTGGCAGCGGGCCTCGGTCAGGGAGGCAAACGAGTGCGTCGGTGAGTTCGTCTCCATCTTCTCCGTGTGTGTGTGCGGGGGGGTGGGGGGGTCTTCATCTTCTGGGGGGGGGGGGGTCTCCATCTTCTCGGGGGGGGGGGGGGTCTTCTGTGGAATGTGTAGGTGCCTTCTTGTAGCGTTTTTTTCTATCTATGGGCTCTATTATATTTTTAGAATGTAAGTATAAAAAATTGGTTAAAAATAATTTCTAAAGTTGGTCGGACTGGGAGTGCTGTCCCCATTACTGTTACTAAAATATGCGAGAAAGTTTAGGGGAGATGACTCCTATTTTAAATGTTCAACTTGCTACCGCTGGGTTATTGTGGGTCGAAAAGGGCGAGCGAAATTTCGAGCGCTTATAACGGACCAAATCGTTTCAAACTTGGCACGTGGGTCAAGACCTATGATAATGCAATCTGACATCGAATTTGACTTAATTGTATGCTTAATTAATTTTTAAAGAATTTATTAAAATTATTTATATAAATAACAATTACCGCGCCATTGAGTGTTCATTTCGCCCTCCAAATAAAATGGAATAATGGAATTTATATAGAAAACATATACGTTTACCAGTGTTCCCCCCCCCCCCCCCCCCTCACAAAAAAAAAGTCTGGAAGAAACAATGTTCGTTGATAAGCTAATAATATATTTGTTGATTTGCTAATTTCATATTCGTTGATTAGCTAATGTAATCTGTATTGTTCAATGCAATGTTACCTTTAAAGTTCCCTGTGAACTGTATAACTACCCTTGATGCTACCTGTAAAGTTACCCCCAAACTAAATCGCGAACTATTTTCCCAGCGGATGTGAACAAGTGAGATAAGACGTCCCAGTTTGTCTGATAGCGCGATAACACAGGCCGTTTGTCACTGAGGGCTGCGCACGGGCCGCCTGGTGCGCAATTTCTTGGTGTGCACTCACAGTGGGCGCTTCGTTCACCCTTGGTTAGGATTAGTGGTAGGGTTAGGATTAGTGTTAGAGTTTGGATTAGCGTTACGGTTTATCACCTGACTTCTCTGTCGAAGACTCAGTCCTGTAATCCTGTTGACTTTCTTACTTTGTTTTTTACACAACACACCTGCACAACACACCTGCACAACACACCTGCACAACACACCTACACAAAACACACCTACACAACACACCTGCACAACACACCTGCACAACACACCTACACACAACACCTACACACCTACACACACCCTACACACACCCTACACACAACCTACACACAACCTACACACAACCTACACACAAACTACACACAACCTACACACAACCTATACATAACCTACACACAACCTACACAACCTACACACCCTAGTGAGACACATCTAATGTGTGCCTTACATCTTTGTCACGCTGGGTTCGCCACTCAAGAGTCTGGGTATGGTGCTAGGTAGCACGACAGCACATGAGGGTAGCTCTACAGGAGGGTAGCACTATAGGTGGCTAGCACTACAGGAGGGTAGCACTACAGAGGGTAGCACTACAGGGGGGTAGCACTACAAGAGGGTAGCACTACAGGAGGGTAGCACTACAGGAGGGTAGCACTACAGGAGGGTAGCACTACAGGGGGTAGCACTACAGAGGGTAGCACGACAAAGGAGCAGATGTAGACAATTTGTCTGGCGAATTACCACCCAACCGCCAACTGTTTGCCCTGCGGTCACGTGACCAGGGCGCTAATCCCCCGGCCAGGGGCAGATCAGACGCCACGGTCCCCAGGTGCTGGGTCAATATTGAAACAACTTGTTGACAGGCCTCGGCGCTGGGGGGTGGGGGAGGGGGTGGGGCAGTCCCGCGGAATGCTGGAAATGTTTCCTGTGATAGATGTTGCACAATATGACAGACCATAGACCTCTTGTGGTCAGCGGTGACGTCACGTGGACATGGCGTAGGTCACATGACCACTTTGGCAATCAGCAGCTTGAGGGTGGGGCTGTTGTGGGAGGGGCTACGCGAGTAGCGGACATATTTGTACATGGAGGGGGGGGAGGGGCGAGAGCATTGTAACAGCTCAATCGTGTTGTGTCATTAGCCTGACAATCGCTACAGGTTGCCGCGTTACACCTCAGTGATCAGGGGGGGGGGGGGGGGTCAACAAATCGAACACCTGCATCCACGAGTTAATTGGCTGAATGGACTGTGACGTCATGTAAGTGTGGCTTGACGTCACTGGTCAGCAAGTGGTCAACAACCAATGACGTCACCCGCCGGAAGCCACGATTGTACAAGTCACCTGGATTCCGTAGACGGCTCTTATCAAATGTTTGGGTAAGACCACGTGGCTCGCCCCCCACATTGTTATCTGGTGGGGTGGGGGTGGGGGGGGGGGAGACGGGAGTGGCGTAACAGGTGGGGTGTCACACCTGTGTTCAAACATCCAGAACTGTCCACAAGAATGTCCGGCCATTTCAGCAATTGTATCAATCAACTCCCCCCCCCCCCCCGGTAGCTTTAACTCCCACTTAAACGAAAACATTTGAACAGCGTCGGACCGTGTCTTGTGATTATGGAGCGGTTGGTGGATTTTACAATCAGCAATGGCTAGTCGGTCTCATAAAGGTCTAGTGGACGGCCACGAAGACTCGGGCTGTAGACGGCCACATACTAGTGCTGTAGACGGCCACATACTAGTGCTGTAGACGGCCACATATTAGTGTTGTAGACGGCCACATATTAGTGCTGTAGACGGCCACATACTAGTGCTGTAGACGGCCACATACTAGTGTTGTAGACGGCCACATATTAGTGTTGTAGACGGCCACATATTAGTGCTGTAGACGGCCACATACTAGTGCTGTAGACGGCCACATACTAGTGCTGTAGACGGCCACATACTAGTGCTGTAGACGGCCACATACTAGTGCTGTAGACGGCCACATACTAGTGCTGTAGACGGCCACATACTAGTGCTGTAGACGACCACATACTAGGGCTGTAGACGGCCACATACTAGTGCTGTAGACGGCCACATACTAGTGCTGTAGACGGCCACATACTAGTGCTGTAGACGGCCACATACTAGTGCTATGGCTGTAGACGGCCACATACTAGTGCTGTAGACGGCCACATACTAGTGCTGTAGACGGCCACATATTAGTGCTGTAGACGGCCACATACTAGTGCTGTAGACGGCCACATACTAGTGCTGTAGACGGCCACATACTAGTGCTGTAGACGGCCACATACTAGTGTTGTAGACGGCCACATACTAGTGCTGTAGACGGCCACATACTAGTGCTGTAGACGGCCACATACTAGTGCTGTAGACGGCCACATACTAGTGCTGTAGACGGCCACATACTAGGGCTGTAGACGGCCACATATTAGTGCTGTAGACGGCCACCAAGACTCGGGCTATAGACGGCCACATACGAGGGCTGTAGACGGCCACATACTAGTGCTATGGCTGTAGACGGCCACATACTAGTGCTGTAGACGGCCACATATTAGTGCTGTAGACGGCCACATACTAGTGCTGTAGACGGCCACATACTAGTGCTGTAGACGGCCACATACTAGTGCTGTAGACGGCCACATACTAGTGTTGTAGACGGCCACATACTAGTGTTGTAGACGGCCACATACTAGTGCTATGGCTGTAGACGGCCACATACTAGGGCTGTAGACGGCCACATACTAGTGCTGTAGACGGCCACATACTAGTGCTGTAGACGGCCACATACTAGTGCTGTAGACGGCCACATACTAGTGCTATGGCTGTAGACGGCCACATACTAGGGCTGTAGACGGCCACATACTAGTGCTGTAGACGGCCACATACTAGTGCTGTAGACGGCCACATACTAGTGCTGTAGACGGCCACATACTAGTGCTGTAGACGGCCACATACTAGTGCTGTAGACGGCCACATACTAGTGCTGTAGACGGCCACATACTAGTGCTGTAGACGGCCACATACTAGTGCTGTAGACGGCCACATACTAGTGCTGTAGACGGCCACATACTAGTGCTATGGCTGTAGACGGCCACATACTAGTGCTGTAGACGGCCACATACTAGTGCTATGGCTGTAGACGGCCACATACTAGTGCTGTAGACGGCCACATACTAGTGCTATGGCTGTAGACGGCCACATACTAGTGCTGTAGACGGCCACATACTAGTGCTGTAGACGGCCACATACTAGTGCTGTAGACGGCCACATACTAGTGCTGTAGACGGCCACATACTAGTGCTGTAGACGGCCACATACTAGTGCTGTAGACGGCCACATACTAGTGCTGTAGACGGCCACATACTAGTGCTGTAGACGGCCACATACTAGTGCTATGGCTGTAGACGGCCACATACTAGTGCTGTAGACGGCCACATACTAGTGCTGTAGACGGCCACATACTAGTGCTGTAGACGGCCACATACTAGGGCTGTAGACGGCCACATATTAGTGCTGTAGACGGCCACATACTAGTGCTGTAGACGGCCACATATTAGTGCTGTAGACGGCCACATACTAGTGCTATGGCTGTAGACGGCCACATACTAGTGCTGTAGACGGCCACATATTAGTGCTGTAGACGGCCACATACTAGTGCTGTAGACGGCCACATACTAGTGCTGTAGACGGCCACATACTAGTGCTGTAGACGGCCACATACTAGTGCTGTAGACGGCCACATACTAGTGCTGTAGACGGCCACATACTAGTGCTGTAGACGGCCACATATTAGTGCTGTAGACGGCCACATACTAGTGCTGTAGACGGCCACATACTAGGGCTGTAGACGGCCACATATTAGTGCTGTAGACGGCCACATACTAGTGCTGTAGACGGCCACATACTAGTTCTGTAGACGGCCACATACTAGTGCTGTAGACGGCCACATACTAGTGCTGTAGACGGCCACATACTAGTTCTGTAGACGGCCACATACTAGTGCTGTAGACGGCCACATACTAGTGCTGTAGACGGCCACATACTAGTGTTGTAGACGGCCACATACTAGGGCTGTAGACGGCCACATACTAGT